CCTGGCTGGCCAGATTGGTAGAGCATGTGACTCTTGATCTTGAGGTTGTTTAGTTTAAGTCCCATACTGGTTGTAAAGGTTACTTAAAAATGAAACCTTTGAAAAAAATTCTTTTTATTAAAAATACTTAACATGTAAGTTTTACAAACTTAAAATGAATTACCATAGGTTTAAAAAATTCTTAGTTTTAATTTCTTTTTAAAAAAAAATTTTTTTTTATTTTTTATTTATGATAGTCACAGAGAGAGAGACATAGGCGCAGAGACATAGGCAGAGGGAGAAGCAGGCTCCATGCACCGGGAGCCCGACGTGGGATTCGATCCCGGGTCTCCAGGATTGCGCCCTGGGCCAAAGGCAGGCGCCAAACTGCTGCGCCACCCAGGGATCCCTTAGTTTTAATTTCTAATATGATAAATGTCAACCCACATACCCCAAAGTTCTCTGAAATCCTCAATTCTTAGGAGTGAACCCTGAGACAAAAAATTTGAGAACCCACTGGCTTTGAGGAAGGAAAAGAAGATAGGGAGAAAATAAAAAGAGATGAGAAAATTGACCCAGAGTCTGATAGTTATCTAGACTTGAGGGGATGAGGACTTGATACGTGGCAGTATGACTGGAAAGAAAAAGGCTGGTTCAGGAGACAATTTGAAAGAGGAAATGTGTAAGATTTGGTGACAATTTCAATATGGGGTAAATGGGATGAAGAACTTTAACTTGTGTGATAACTATGTTTTTGTATTGAGGGTTAGAAACCGATTATTGACAGTCAGCTCAGGTTCATGGGTAGATGCTCCTCTATAAATACTATTTTGGAAATTCAAGGAGTGGGGAAGGTGGCTTAGGAGAAGGAGCAGTCAGGAAGAAACAGGAAAATGCTTCTAAACAGAAGGCAAGGAGGGCAAGATGTTTAGCAAGAAACAGGTCATGGATATTTAGAAGTAGAGGAAGGGACTGTGTCTCATTTAACAGGCTTGATTCAGAAGGTACGCATCTTAGAAACTGATACTTAATCAGTTGCTCAAGGTTACATGGTGTAAGTGGCTGAGCATTGTCAACAGTGCCCAAGCCCATAGAGTTTGAGGAGGATGAGAGCAGATAAAGCTTCTCTTGATAGAATGACTTTGGCCATCCCCAGGGACCCCCATGGTTCTAATAGAGTTGGACTTTAAGAAGAGAGAATGAGGAGATGGGAAATGAAAGCAGTAAGTATAGGCTGAGTGGGAACAGTTTAATAATTTTTTAAAAAGTAGGAAATTTGTTGTTTTGAAGGAATAGTAAGTTCAGAAAAAGTAAGGCAGAAAAAAGTAAGGCAGAAAAGTCATGCACAAAAAACTACTTTTTGTTAGGTAAGAGAAATATAGGCACATTGAATATAGAGAGAAGTGTTCGAAACCAGAAAAAGAAATAATAGTGAGAAAGTGGGCTCTTGGTGTTAAAGTTGGTAGAAATAATAACCAACTTTGATATAATATCTTATCTCAAAGATGCTTGGTATATAAGGTGCTTTCTCACTTTTTTTAGTTCACAACCTACAAGTAGTTATGGCCACTTCCCTTATGGGGAAATTGAGTGTTAGAGAAGTTCACACTGTTAGTCCAGAGTAGCTTTGGCAGGGAGAAGTCCTTCCTTGGTCTATAGGGAAGGATGAGGGGGTAGTTATAAGGGGCACAAATGGATTAGAAGTTACGATGGCAGTAACTGGGAGCTGGTCAGTTTATGAACTGTACCTGAGTGTTGGTGCTGCAAATCTAAGAAGTGTGATTAGGTTAAAAGAGACAGGAAATGACCCAAGAAATTCTCTTTGGCTTTCTCCACTTGAATACTCCATTATGGTGTGATTGAAGATTCCATGAAAACGTTATTGGGAAGCAGTATCACTCTTCACTTGTCTAATGCATTCCCAGGAAGTGGGAGGCCAATTATTCTTTCTACTCAGTCTATACAGCAGTCATAAATTCTTTGGATATTTAAATTCGTGAGATGTAAAGTGTTGGTAAGAAATAATGTCTTTCTCTCCAGTTCTTATCCCACTGGTTTTGGGTCAGGTACACCTATTATTGATGAGTGATTTAATATTAACTACACGAATAAAATACTTTCCATTTAGAATGTCCCAATTGATTTTGGTTTGGGGGTCGTTTTGGAGTAAGAATGAGCTCTAAGAAAATCTTACCCGACTGTTCAAATCTCAGTATTTGGTGGTGGACTGTGGAAGTAGAAATGCATTTTAATTTCACAGCGCAGCCTATCAGTGTGAGTTTGTAGGCAACTCATCTCTCCCAAAATGACACTGTCACTCTTCACCCAAGGGTTCTTCTGCCAGAATGAAAAGTTCAGGGAGCGAAAGCTCTGTGTGTTAGGGAGGGGAGAATGTTGATGGCTTGACATGGATTAAGGAATTCAAACTGAAGGGGGCTTCTGAGGGGAAGGTCACTAGAATGACATTGGAGAAAAGAGAGTAATATGAAAAGACTGTTGGAAAGCTTTTGGACAAAATGAAATCGCAGTGACCTACTGGTTGCTAAGCCTGAAATAAAGGATGTATGTTCATTCATCCGGAACCCAGGGAAGGTTTTGGAACTTTGGTGGCATCCACGTCCAGGCTGAATAATTAAGAGAACAAATTGATAATGAACTTGCGGGTGTCCTGTCAATTCAGACATTAAACCTGTTGCCACAGCTCCCAACTTGTCTGAAGAGGAAAGGCTTGGGTGAGGAGTCCGTTGTCTTTGCATAAATATATATGTTTTAATGAAAACCGTGGCAATTTGGGGTGTCTGCGGACACAATGTGGAGGCAAGCAGTGACTCCTTAGGGGGCACCCTATCTCCCAGGGACTTATGTGGGTTGCAGGATCTTAGAGTGAGTCCCATGTGAGGAATAGGCTATGGCCTCATTTGTCGTCAGGGTAAATTTTGTGGCAGCCAAGCCTATGCAGCTGTTATGTGTGTCTCCACAGCAGCTGCCAACTGGGAGTAGTTTCTGGCACTTTCCCTGGAGTTTCAGGTTGAACCAGAAGCTAGACATTCAGGGGCACATTCACAGTCAGAGAGCAGGCTAGAGATAATTTCAAAGGAAATGGGGGCATAGAGTAGAGAAACTGCTGTGTCTGCCCCCTTACCCACTTCTTCCCCTTTCCATCTGCATCCTCTTCTCTCCCTCTGGTCCAGCTGCTACCTGAGATAAAAGAGCTGCCCTGCCTGAGCCTTGGGGCAAGGGAGGGTGGGACTAATCCTGTTCTGAAGTGGTTCAGCCCTTGGGTGTGCCTGAGTTTCGCTGATTTGGTTTGGTTCCTGCCTGCTTTTCCCAAATGCCCAAGTACCTTGGGAATCAAAATATGGTTGGAAATCTCTGGTGGGAAGGGACCTTTTGTCGAGTGGCCTTCTGGGTGTGGTTGGGTATGGTTGACCTGCACTGGGGCGCTCTCTTACCCGCTTTGGCTTAGGGCCACTGCCCTTCCTGTTGTGAGTTTAACACAAATGATCTAAAAACATGTGGGCTGTCTTAACCCAGAACAACCAAGCCTTGGTTATTTTACCCCTGCAGTTTTCAAGAGCAACTAAAGAAACATCCAAGCTGGCAAACCCCAATTCTTGCCACAAACATTGGGAGCTCTTGAGGGTAAGCAATGGGTGGGATGCTTTTCCTTCCTTGAAGGTACAGCCAGCCTGATCCCTTGTAGCTGCTGCCCTGGGAGCATGACTGAGTAAAAATGATATGCGAGTGACACTAATACAGACAATCTACTCAGCTCTACTTGTTTTGATTTTGAGGTTCCTTACAAGAGGCAAAGTTAGCATTGAACTTCGGTGGTGACATCATAGCTCATAGGTAACACTGCTATTTTATACTTTTTTCCTCATGTTATATTTCTAAGACTTGCTATCTGCAGATTTCCACATGTAGGAAAAACTGGTTCATGAACATATGGGTTTGCATCTCTAGACGATTAACAAAAAGGAACAAAACATTAAGATGAGTGAGTATATAACAGGTTGCATATTGTTCTTAAGTTTGAACTTCTGAAGGCAGAGTTTGCTTTATACGTTATTTCATTCCCTGATGGATGCTGATTTTAAAAATAGAGGTGTTAGAATGACATGAGTATCATTTCATCACCGGTATTTAAGTTCCCTCAGGCTTTTGGATACAAGGTTAACCTATAGCTCAACATTTAAACCGAACAATACAGTTCTTCTTAGTGCAAAAGGCAAGATGGCCAGCTCCTTGGGTGGGGGCAGGGAGGAAGAGAAGGGAAAGGTTGCAAGCACGCCCCGTGACCTTCAGGTTAACCTTGCTTCCATGCATCACTGTGGAGTGTGCAGAGAACACAGCCTGATTGCTCTCTATCTCCACGTGAACAGCAGAGTGTATTACTGAGCCTTGTCTCTTGGGACACATTTCGCTGGGATTTGAAATCTTTGAGAGAGGATTCTTGATGATTGACCCTTGAGTTCAAGTCCCGGTTGTGACTTTTACTGCTGTGGGGTATGCATAGCACGTTTCCACCAAAGTAGTTCTGCCCGTGCTTTGGTGAACCAGAGCTTGGATTCCAGTTTTACCCCAGCCTCTGAGCAGCCTGAGTCTCTGCCAGCATGGCACTTGGGTTGAACTTTGTTTCAGGCTCCTGTGGGCATTGGCCACCCTGTGCTCTTAAAGAGTTAAGAAGAAGAGCAGGCCCCTTTGGTAGCCTGTAGTGTACTTGTTTTTCACATGCCGTGGAAATAGGAATTGCTGTCATATAATCACACTGCATTCTGATTCAGGTCAAATATTTCACTCTTTGCACTTGGTGTTTTTTCTCTTTTACTGTTTTCTTAACCTGTCACAGCCTCTTAATTAGAATGTATTGCTAGAGGACCGGCAGCATTGTCAAACGTTGTGCATTTTACAAAAAATACACAAAAGCACCAGACAAGCAGCTGTAGTGCCAGCTCCTCCAGATGCAAAACTGAAATTCCCGAGAGGGGCATCTTCATTGTTTTCTTTCTTTGTTCCAGAAGCAAAGGCCGATAATGAACCGAGCTGTTCTCCGGCAGCTCAAGAACTGTTGACAAGGCTGGGATTTTTACTGGGAGAAGGGATCCCAAGTGCCACACACATAACCATTGAAGAAAACAATGAGACCATGGTAATGCCCGAGGAAGACACTGCATATCATACCTGCTCAGAGGATGCGTGAAGGCATAGCCATCTTCTCCGCCTCCCCAAGGGGGGCAGTCACTGTTCAGGCAAAGGAGTCTGGGCTGTCGTGTATTGAAATTTCCTTCAACAGTTTGTGGTTTCTGCAGCGGGCGGGGGGGTGGGGTGTGGAGAGGCAGAAGGGTGCAGAACTTCGGGATGTGTCCACATTAACCTTCGAGCTACCACCCCGGGAAGAGCAGCTCAATGAATTTAAGTGGCCGAGAGAATCCCATAGTCATGATGCTACTTTTATCTTCCTAATGCTGTTCTTCTCAACTGGCTGCTCTGGGATATGCTTTCGTGTGTGTGTGTGTGTGTGTGTGTGTGTGTGTGTGTGTGTGTGTGTTTAAGCAGTTGAGATTTTGGAGGGTCAGCGGGATGAGGAATTGTAGGAGATGAGGCAGAGACAAGATGGAATCAAATGGTTTGTGCACGGGAGAGCGCTTGGCATCCTAGGGAACCAGGAGCCTGCTGCTTCTGAATCGAGATTTGTCTGTTTGCATGGCAATGAGGGGCCAGAGCTCCCCCCCGCCCCAGGAGGGTCCCTGGGAGGGTGTCATGCACTGATTGAGATGGCGGTGGCCACCAGCCTCCTTGCCCTGATCTCAGAGCCCATAAATCTTCAGGAGTTGAATTGGGCTGCAGTGCTCGTGAAACGTTACAAAAACCAGAGTTCCCAGGTTTTCCGTACAGAGGTCAAAGAACCCATTTGTCTTCTGCAGGCTTTAAATGAAAGGAAGTCTGCCTGTTTGCTATTTCTATTTTATGAATGTGCGTTCCCACTAAATTATTTCTAAGACTGCCCTTTTAAAATAATAGTAATCATCATCATCATCACAGGGGAGGGGGACAGGACAAAGATATTTCTCTTGTAAAATTTGAAAGAGCACATCTATATGAAGCCCCTTCTGTTTAAAAAAATATATATAAAACTGTTTTCCATGTTCCTGTTTTTAGTTTTTCTGTTTGGGCGTCAGAAACAAAAGACTGTGTAGAAGCATCCTGTGTGAAGCCGTGCTAACTCCTCCTTCCATTCGTCTTGCAGTGCACAGCTCTGAGCCAAGGCATCAGTCCTTGCTCCACACTAACAAGCAGCACCGCATCTCCTAGCACCGATAGCCCCTGCTCAACCTTGAATAGCTGTGTCAGCAAGACGGCAGCCAACAAAAGTCCCTGTGAGACCATTAGCAGCCCTAGTTCCACCCTGGAAAGCAAGGACAGTGGAATTATAGGTAAGAAGCACACGGCTCGGTAACGTAACGGCTCAACACACGTCAGCCAGAGCATTCAGCAGGCACTTCTTAAGAGGATTTGAGCGTGGTCTGTGAAGGTCGGTGTGCCAGGGCCCGCCCTGCTCTCTGCAGACGGCACTGGCTCCGTGGACAGCCGAGAGGACGAAGCATCAGCTTTTACATTCCTTGGTGTCTATTTTTATAACACTGGGCTCATTTGGTTAAAAAATCTCCAGATCGGATCTGGCCTGTGACGTTAAAAAATCTGACCTCCTCATCAATTAAGTCCATCTGTTGGGGATATGGTCCCACTAGGACGTGGAACGGGGCAATAAACCTGCATTTTGAGGTGTCTTCCCAACCCAATCTCAAGGTCCTTTTATTTCCTCACTTATTTCCAGGTATTTGTTCTTGAATTTCCTTTCATGGGATCTGACCACTCTTTTTAAGGCCAGAATTTTCTCAGACTCCATCCTTTGTCCCTGCACACTGACACCCACGCAGTAGGTCTGGTTGTCCTGAATTGTGGATCAGGAGACACAGATTCTAGTCCTGACTCCTAGGGTGCTTAGCTCGGTAAACACTTGCGTAACATTCGAGTTCTTTGCACCCTTCTTTCCTTCTCTGTTAAAGTAAGAATTCTGACTAGTTCAGTAGTTTTTGGTCTCAGGTGCACATTACAATGCTCAGCTGAACGTGCAGCTCCTTTTGTTTTTCTGACTTAACGCACATGTCTTTGAGGGATACTTTACATTCTAGTGTGGACTGAACCCCACTTACTTCCACATGAGTATGTATGTAGTCAAAGGGAATGACATTTGAACTCCTAATTTTCTCTAGTCTTATCTGCTATTTCAAAACCAAGTTGCAGATCCATGCACTGTGTATTTTGGGGGTTGCCTCAGAAGATCTGTGAGATCACTGGGGTTGGGTTGTGGGCTCCCTGGCTGTAGAACTCACCGTAGCTTTCGGAGGGGCCCTTAGCATAAGGGTGGCTGCCTCTGCCCTCAGTTTTCATGTGGATCAGGCCCTCCCGGTAGGTTTCTGTGTCATTTGGCTTTGATTATCTTATTGGGATGCAGTCATATACCATAATAATCACTCACTGAAACCACTGAATGGTATTTGGTCTGTTCAGAGTTGTGCAACCACTGCCACAATCTGATTTCAGTACCTTTCACCCCAAAAAGAACCCCGTAGCCATTAGAAGTCACGTTCCATTCTACAGACACCCCCAGACTTGTTCAGTGTGTGTCTCCATAGACTACCTGGTTCTGGACGTCGTGTTCAAGTGGTGGTTTGAGGTTGTCATAGCGAATTTAAATTCTTTCACTTACTCTGCTGGTTTCCTGTTCCCACCTCACTCTGCTTCCCCACCTGCCATTTGGTCCAACTCGTTTTTCCCAGTGTTACCTCTGTGCTCATGCCCTCTCTGAGCTGTAACCACAGCCGAGTCCATGGTATATTCTGCAGTAGCCAGCTGACTCCCTTGACAGCATCCTTCACTCTCCTGAAATGTCCTCTCCTCCCAAGAGTTTATCTTGTTCAAGGAGTTCAGTGCTCCATGGTATTTTGGATAGCCTGTTCTCTTTTCATTCTATGATCTGGCATGGGCATTACCCGCCTCTGATTATAGCCAAGCCAGTTTCTTGTTGTGATAGGAACTTTTTCAATGACTGAAGAGGACCCTCATGCATTCACTCTTTCCTCCCTCTCTGTTTCTCTCTCTTTCAGTGAGATACAGTGCTGCGACTTAAAAAGTATTCTAAAGAGGGAAAAGGAACAGTTGCCAGTTTCCTGCCTTGTCAAGGAAAGATCGAGCTGCAGGAATACCAGCACTCTTAATTAGTATTTGATTTAATACATCCATCCAATCCCAGAGTGGTTATTTTCCCTATTATATACTCTCCATAGCACCTCAATATTTTCCTTCAATTTACTTGATATTTTTTAAAAATTATTTTTGTTTCCCTATGGAGGGGATCTCATTTATATTATTCTGGCTCTCTACTGGCCTTCTAGTAGAGAAGAGTTGAGAGCTACTGAAGGAGCTATGCAAGATTCCCATTCCAAGTTGGCGTTGTCACATCTGTTAATGTCATTTGTATTTTAAGCTGTGTCTTGTCATTAAAGTTAAATGACATGTTTCATGTTGTTGGGGCCGTCCGTCATTTCCTTGGCTGAAGTCAGACATGTTCCCTTAACTCAGCTTCACATAAAGACGGTGACGGTTGAGATGAAGTGGAATAATGGGCAAATTTAAGTCCCTCTTGTATGGAAGGTCCCCAGCGTTGGGGATGGTGCTCCTTTCTCCTTAGCTATCTCCTGTCTGGAGTAAGGACCATAAATGGTTGAGAGGGAAGTGCTGTGCTGGTGACCGTGTTCATCTGTTTGCTCTCCTTCCATGACCTGCAGAACTAGATTCTGTTGCCAGGGGACACATGGGAGATGTGGTTGGTAGAAGGAGAAAAAGCAAGTATTTCCTCTCCAGGCAGACTATGGCCACAGGTTTTGAAGAGGCAGGAGTGGTAAGGCAGAGGAGGGAGAGAGCTTCCTTTGTCCTCAATCAATACAGGGTATGCAGGTTTCACGGCCTCTTCACCGAGTAGGGATCTGTGACTCAGTTGTGGTTCTGTGATTGCTGGAGGTGGGGCGTGTGGTTTTTCTACCTGAGGAACAGGACTGTTTTTATAAGGTGTAGCCTGGGAATGGCAGCCTTTAGGCATCTTAAATGTTTAACCGAATAAAATATTCAAGAACACAGTGATCTTAGTGGGCAAAGATGAAGGCGAAGATACCTTGGCTTCCTGCTTTGGAAGGCCTGGCGGCTGCTTGTAATAGGCTGATTAAGATCCATGTTCTGAATTCCACAGGCTCTGGAGAGATGGGGAAGAAGTTTCCATTTAATTTTCCATTTCAAGTTGTTTAAGATTTGTTTACCCCTAGAGCTTGGGTTGGAGCGGCAGAGGTATCAGGGGTGGGCTGGTAACAAGTCCACACAGTTGGGGTGGCACTTCGATCTTTGGGGAGCTGCAGGCGCCCACATGGGCTCAGAGCTGCATGTACAGTTATTAGCACTGTTTATTTAGGGCACTTAGGGGAAATTTCAAATAGTGTTAGCCCATCCTTAAACATTCCTAGCCCTCTTCTTAATATGTAGGCTTATTTCCATCATGGTGATTATATTTAACCTATATATTTTTGACCAACAGATGCCATGGAGAGGTTGCATTCCCCATGCTTATTAGCTGGCCTTCTGATGGGCTGCCACAGGGCGCCCCCCCTCCCCCAGCTCTGTTTCTGCTGGTTTTGATGTATCGCAGGTGAAGAGAATTCCCTTTTTAGGAATGGCTTAGTAGAAGAAAGGGCAGAATAATGACCGTTAGAAGAATTTATTGGACTCGCTCCGGTTTTTTTGTGCAGAGGTCAGGGCTTAGCAGAACCCCCGTGCCCTCTGTTCCAACTTTATCATGTTATGCAGAGGGCAGTCCTACCTCGTCCTGTTTGAGGAGGTCCAAGTTCTTAAAATGTTCTTTAGAAGTATAATAATTCTGTCGTGAGACAGTACAAATACTGTCTCAGCTGGATGGGCATAACTGAATTCCCTACAAATAGATATGTATATATTTTAAAGTAAGTACAAGTATGTGTGTGTGCAAGTGTGTGTATATATATACATACATGTATATACACACATACATATGTATATATTATAATGTCATTTGTATTTTAAGCTGTGTCTTGTCATTAAAGTTAAATGATATGTTTCATGTTCATATATATATATATATATATTTATATAAAATGTTCTACTCTTGACATGTTAAAATAATTGGCATTACCTAGAAATTATTGTTCGATTTTTCAAATTTGCAAGGTGAGGAAACCATACCCAGTCAGCATAAGGTAGCTTTTTAATAACTTGCTCTAAAAGGAAAATTTGATAAAGAAGTAGCTTTTATAGATGTTTCCTCCATGCCTGAGAATACGTTTTTCTTAGTGACACTCCTTTGAATAAACTTGCTTCTAGCTGTTAACAAGTGGAAATTGTAAACTGTATTAATCTCAGCTCAGAAAAAAATTAGGTTATGCTCACTAGAATGTGTATGAAAGCCAATCTGATCGATTATTTATCTATCTTAAAGATTGATTGATTTGATTTTAGAGACCAGAGAGTGTGTGAATGGTGGGAGGGGCAGAGGGAAAGGGAGCAAGAATCCTCAAGCAGCCTCCCTGCTGAGCGTGGAGCCTGATGCAGGGTTTGATCCCAGGATCCTAATAATATCATGACCTGAGCTAAAACCAAGAGTTGGATGCTTCATCAACTGAGACACCCAGGTACTCCCCAATCTGATTTTTTAAAAAGCATCACTGAAATCAGTGGGTTTTAACAAGCACTTTTTGATTTAAACATATTGTTTAGTTTTTGTCTGTGTCCGTATCATGATCAATATTTGTGTGTGTGTGTATTTTTATTTATTTATTTTTTTAAGATTTAATTTATTTATCCATGAGAGATACAGAGAGAGAGAGAGGCAGAGATACAGGCAGAGGGAGAAGCAGGCTCCATGCAGGGAGCCAGACGTGGGACTCGATCCCAGGTCTCCAGGATCAGGCCCTGAGCTGAAGGCGGCGCTAAACCGATGAGCCACCAGGGCTGCCCCGTGTGCGTGTGCATGTGCGTGTGCGTGTGTGTTTAAAAAAATAAAAGGATTAGAGACGTCGGGGTGGCTCAGTGGTTGAGCAGCTGCCTTTGGGTCAGGTCATGATCCTGGAATCCAAGATTGAGTCCCACATCAGGCTCCCTGCATGGAGCCTGCTTCTCCCTCTGCCTGTGTCTCTGCCTCTTTCTCTGTGTCTCTCATGAGTAAAAGAAATAAAATCTTAAAACAAAAAAAAAAAAGGATTATTGATCTATTTAGGAAGAAAGGGAATGGATATTGGATGAGGAGAAACAAACAAAACCCAGCCTCCCTATCAAGATTAAAAAAAAAAAATCC